ATACCATTATCACGCGTTATTAGGTTCATTTTCATTATTTCTGCTTCCTCGGGTGGGAGGAGTATGCAAAGGGCCTTGACCCTCAGCCTCCTCTATTTCCTTCATTGCRTGGGAGCCCCAAGGTCCAGGAAGAAGAAAATGGGTTTGGGGCTGGCTCCATCCTGGTCTAGCCTCTGAACCTCCCCTTACCCTGAGCACAGACTGGCCGGCGGTTCTTCCTCTTCCTTCCTCTAGCTATGCAGCCCATCCATCCCCTTTCTCCTCCCTCTCCAGCCTGCTGCATAACTAACCCAGGGAATCACACCTAGAGCCCACTTTTCCATGTTCTCTGTCGCCCCCAGGCTTTCAAGCGTTTTGTCTGTGTCTGTCTCGCACTGTACCAAGCTCCCTCGGTGTCCCTCACCTGAGCCCCCTCCAATCCCTTCACAGATGGTCTGTGGCATGAGGAATCTCTGCAACTGTTCCCCTTCTCAGCTAGGCTCTTTCTTGTCTTTCTGGACCAGGACTTTCTTTAGAGTCAGTAAAAGGCTGCCCTGTGTCACAGGTGCTGTGGAGAGGACCCTCCCAAACTCCCACAGCTGGTAACAGAAACTTGGCCTCACTGCTGGGGAGGGGTAGAGTCAGAGACTCCAGTGACCTCTGGAGCTGTCCTCCTGGTAGCTTGTGCCCTTGCTCTGGAAGTTCAAAGGCAGAAAGTTACCTTATGTCCACCCTGCTTCACTCCACCAAACCCCTCTAGAAGGTGCCAAGAATTTCTCTCTGTACTGCTTCCTGCATTGYATCTCCCCCAAAACTAAATGTAAGATTCCCCTACACTTGTTGYCCCCATTGCCCATATTAAGACCAAAGGTCAAAGCAGGATTCCATGTGATGGGAGTGGACGAGAAATTGACAAGGTACTAAGAATCTCTGTTTGGCAGCCACTATGCTGGCCGACTCACATGCATTAGTTCATCTAATCCTAAAACTTCAGACAGATTCTGGAAGGACAAGGTCCCCAAGTCCCATACAAGCTTTAACTATTTCCAAAGCACTTCCTTGGAATTCCTGTGATAACCTCCCAACCCTGTGAGATAGGAAGAGTAAATACTGTTCCTCCCATCTTGTAGATTCAGAATCTAAGGCTAAGAGACCTGCCTAAAGTCACAGTTGGAATACAGTGACTGAGTCAAGATTGAAGTCAGGTATTATTATACAAAATCCCATGATCTTTTCACTGAGGCAAGCCCTAGGCTCCTCCTGGGAGGCCCTGGCAGAAACTAGAACATTCAGCTGGGCTTGTCCAGCCCAGCCCAACCCAGCCCACAGTCTTGTGGTAGACACAGACCCTTGGAAAGGGTGGTAGCAGGGTAGGGAAGAAATGACAAAGAACATGAGGCTAGTTTCTGCCCTTGAAGAGCACCCGGTCAGGAGGAAGGTGGAGATCAGGTACATCCAAACCAGACAGAGGCAGGGCAGCATGGAGGCAGGTGGACAGACCTCCAGCTAGGGACAGAGAAGGCCCTGAGTTGAGAGGAGGAGGTAGCTGACCACTTGGTCCCAGCAGTATCCATCCCCACATTCTCTTTCTCTTTTTTTTTTTTCCATTTCTGTCTATTTACCAGCAAATGACATTATTTCATTCTTTTTTTTTTATTAGTTACACATGACAGTAGAATGCATTTTGACACATCATACATAAATGGAGTATAACTTCTCATTTTTCTGGTTGTACATGATGTAGATTTACACAGGTCACCCACATTCCCATTTTGTGCCAAATGACTTTGTACCTGCAAATTTGCTTTTTTTTWWWWAAATATCTTTAAGCTGTGATTCTGTTTATATAATAAAAAATGCTTCCCAGCTAGATTGTAAACCCTTTGTGGACAGGGCTCCTTCCAGTTCTTGGATGGTACTCTCCTATCTTCCCTTATGGGTCTTATCTAACACAGTGCTCTGCATATAGTAAGCACTCAATAAATGCTCATTTGTCAGTAAGTGCTGTTTCTTCCACAACTTGGAAATGGTCAATACAGTCCAGGTGCCAGAAGACAGGCTAGGCTCCCTACCATTTCTACTGCAGCTCAAAGAATCCAAAGGAGAGGATTTCCCTGAGAGATTCCAGTTCCCACTGTCACAGTGATGAGATCTATCTATCTCCCAGGGAGACACATTCCTCTAGAGGTAACAGGACAGGACCTGGAGTGCTCAGTGCAAACACCATTTCAGGACATAATAATTCCAGTGGTTTCTTATAACAACCCTGATATTAGAGAGATGGAAAGACCTCAGGCACAGGCCTAAGAAACAGAATCAGCTGCCTCTTGTGAGTAATCTTGACCTCCCTTAGCCTCACCAGGTCCACTCCTGATGACAAAGTCTGTGTAGCAACCTGTGGTTCCCATCTCAGGTCACTGTGTGATCCTGAGCAAGTAACCTCTGGGTTTAGTTTTCTTCACAAAGTAGCTTGGAATTAAATCAAACAGTAGAGGTCAATTTTAATATAATTTTATAGATTATTTCTGAATCAATAAAATGGCAAGAACAACTTCTTATCTTTCATAAGCTGAAAAGGACTAAGTTCAAATCCCCAGGTAGAAGTTTCCCAGATTGGTTCAGCCTCCGGTGAGCACTTCTGAGTTCTGCCCACTCCAAAATGACGGAGCTGGAGACTTGTGAATTCATAAAAGACAGTGCTGAGAAGAAAGGATGAGAAAAAAGGTGGAAGGTTAGACTGAAGTGGAGTTAGCAGTGGAGTCTGACCCCAGGGCCTCTGGGATCATCAGGGTCATTGTCCAATCTGAGCCCCAAGCCCTGAAGAAAATCTTACATATAGCTGCCATGTCCTGCTGGGGTCAGGGCCCTTGGTTGGACACAAATGAGAAAGGACATACAGCCCTCCTGTCTTAAGAAAGATGTGGGGGAGGAGCAGCTCCAGCAGGAAATGCCAGAGCAGAGTCGGAACAATAGCGGGATTTCTTTGGCTCCTGTTTTCTTTGGCCTCTTTGCTGCTATGGAGCCCCATACCAGGTCCTTGGCTTTCCTGTGTGCTCCTCCCCAAAGCCCCAGCTGGACAAACTGACAGAAGACACCTGTTCTCTCCCTCTGCTGTACCCTAGGGCTCAAATCCTCAGGTGGCTTTTAAAATTAATACCCACAGCAGAATTCTTTACTGAGACTTCCTCTGTGCCAGGTACTGTGCTAAGTGCTTCTCAAACATACATGGTGTGGTTGGGGGTGTAGTTCCTTTACCAGGATCCTGAGGTTGGATCCTTGCTCTGAAGAGCCCTCCAAGGTCTTTCCCCACATGCCAAACCTGGCCATAGGAAGACAGAGGGCTGAGAGGAGGGGTGAGAGGGACTAGGAGCTGGGTATTGGGGAAAACTGGAAGAAAGTGTTGCCCAGTCCAAGAATGAGGTGAAGACAGAAACAAGAAGACACATAAATTAAGAGGCAGAAGAAAGGTGAAATAGGAGAAAGATGAATAGAGACAAACCTAGACTGTCAAAGGAAGGAAGGAAGGATAAAACAAAGAATATGACAGTGTGAGAGAGGGGGAGGGAGAGAATTTAAAGACAGACTGAAAGACTGAAAAGGAAGGGGGAGAAGGACTGAGAAAAAGAAAGCAGGGAAGAGACAGAGGACGGAAAAGGGACAGAGATTAAAAGAGGCAAAAAGACAAGATTGGGGCTGGGGTTTTGGCTCAGTGATAGAGCACTCGTTTAGCACGTGCGAGGCCCTGGGTTCGATCCTCAGCACCACATTTAAATACATGAAATAAAGGTAGTGTGTCCAACTACAACTAAAAAAATAAATAAACATTAAAAAAAAAAAAAAAAAGACGAGCACATCAGTTAATGGAGCCCAGGGAAAGACTGACAGGGATAAGAAGCAGAGCGAAATCAAGACCTAGGGRGTGTTTAAAGGTAGAGACTAAAGAGGGAGAGAGGAGGAGGCGGAAGAGAAGGAAAAGCTGAAACCATAGTGCAAGACTTAYGGAAGGGAGGTGGGGGAGGCCGAGACCCGCATGGAAGGTCAGTGGTGCCTCTGTCCTCTCTGATCCGCCAGAGTCCCAGCACTTTTTCCCTGACTCCAAAATAAACCCGAATTGGCCCCCCTCCTGTCCTATTGACAAGGGTAACTCGCAGCACCCAACTCCAGCAGACTCGCGGGGGATCCCCAAGAGGGCTGTGCCCTGGGAAAGCAGCCGTGGAGGGCACCTCTGGAAGTCAGCTGTGTAGCCCCGTACTGCCAGGACACGCGGCGTGGAGGTTGCTAATCGCCAGGGCAGGCTGGCACAGTGCCTCTGGTCCTAACGCCCCCGCTCCAGCCGGGGCCGGGCCGGGCCGGGGAGAGGCCCACGACGGCCGCACCGCCTCCACCACCCGCTGGCAGGGAGCTAAGAGGCGCTGTCCTCAGGGAACCGCATCACTCCAGCCCAGCCGTGGGTGAGGCCGGGTCAGGATGCTCGGATCGCAGGAGGAAAAGGAGAAGCTGGACCAAAGAACTGAAGAGAAGGAAAGGCGAAGACCACGGCCGGAGGTGAAGGCCCAGCGGAGGTAGACTTCCAGGGCGCTGTCGGACTGGAGAGTCCAGACCTCGCCACATCTCCCAAGGAGCCCGGGACGCACATCGCGGACTAGAGCGCGGGAGCTTTTCTGACAGCACCATGCGCGGGTACTCCGCCGCCGGGCCCGTCTACACTGCGGCCTGGGTCACGTGGCCCGGGCGGGTCCGCCGCTGCCCTGGCGGGGGGGCAGGCGCCGGGTCGGGGGCGCGCGGGGTCCGGGGCGGCGGCGAACGGGCAGCGGCCGCCAGGTCTGTGCCCTGCGCGCTGCCCTGGCCCCCGAGCGCGGGAGCCGCCCACTGCCCCCCCGCGCTAGTCCCGCTGCGGGACGCCCGCCCTCTATATAACGCGCCCCGAGCCGGCCCGCGCCAGGCAGCCAGCCACGGAGTGGGCGCTGGAGAGCGCGCGGCGCCTCGCAGCCAGACCCCTGCCCCCGCCACCTCCACTGCCCGAACGGCCGCCCCCTGTCGCGGCCTTTGCCGCCGGGCCCCCAAGGCCACCATGAAGACAGAGGTGTGCTCCGTGGCCTTCCTCAAGGCCGTGTTTGCAGAGTTCCTGGCCACCCTCATCTTCGTTTTCTTCGGCCTCGGCTCAGCCCTCAAGTGGCCATCTGCACTGCCCTCCATTCTGCAGATCTCCATGGCCTTTGGTCTGGCCATAGGCACTATGGCCCAGGCCCTGGGGCCCGTGAGTGGGGGCCACATCAACCCTGCCATCACCCTGGCCCTCTTAATAGGCAACCAGATCTCACTGCTCCGGGCTATCTTCTACGTGGCAGCCCAGCTGGTGGGTGCCATCGCCGGGGCAGGCATCCTCTATGCGCTGGTGCCGACCAATGCCCGGGGCAACCTGGCAGTCAACGCGGTGAGTGGACAAAGGACTGGGGAAGGATAGACAGGGAACCTGGTGTGTGCTCAGGACTAGGTCCATGCCCTTTCTCGAAAATGGGTACAACCAGAGGAAGATAGTGCATACTCTTGCCAGAAAGGCCTGGAAGAGACTCTCTGGAGGGACCGCAGCACCCTGATTCACACTCACTCCTCGGCCCCCTCTGCTCCTGTTGCTCCTACCTGGCCCTCTTCTAAGGGCCTACTGCCTCTCCCCTCTACATTTATTCCTTCCAGCTTCTTGCCTCTCTTGTCTATCCTTCAGCAGAAGAGTTTTAATGTAACCTCGGGAGAGAAATGGGTTGTAATCCTGGGTTCTGGTGACGTTGGCTTTTGGTGATGTTGGCTTCTCTGTTTCCTTTTCCTCAGTCATTATACCAGGATGGTCACACCATAACAGATGTCATGGGGATTACATTTAGGAACCATGGATGTGACCCTCCCACCTCCAATGCGTAGCGTCTCTGTTAAATATTTGTTCCCCTTTTCCTCACCCCTGCTCCTGCCGGCTGCTGCCTCCCTACTTCTGCAGCCCCAGTTTCAACCCCACTGTCCCATGTAAACTGGGTTCATTAATCAAACACAGAGGAGGATTTTCGCGGCCATTGTCAAGCTGTGAGTCAGCCACACTGGAGAGACGGGTTTGAGGTTGGCACCAACAGCGGGTCAGGCAYGGGTAGGAGGCCAGGGGCAGTTTGCAGTAGGCAGACTGGGCAGCTGCCCACAGGAGGGAGGGTAAAAGCTAGCTTGTGGGGGCTGGGGATTGGGCAGAGCCATTGACAGGACTGATTCCAAGAAAAGCTCCCCTGACACTCTGCCCTTTGGCCACAGGCCTGAGCTTCAAGCTTCTACATACTGTGAAGTACACAACCTCTTCAATAAATGGCCCCTCTGAGGCGGCGACTGGGCTTGGCTTCCAGGTGCTCAGGCTCCAGGTGTCCTCGGAGGCCCTGTTCCTCCTGCCCCAGCCCCAGAGCCTGAAGGCAGCAGGGGTCCTACCTAACCCAGCACCCCCCCACCCCACAGATCAACAACAACACAACGCCAGGCCAGGCTGTGGCAGTGGAGCTCATTCTCACCTTCCAGCTGGCACTCTGCATCTTCTCCTCCACTGACTCCCGCCGCACCAGCCCTGTGGGCTCTCCAGCTCTGTCCATTGGCCTGTCTGTCACGCTGGGCCACCTTGTGGGGGTGAGTGGAGCTGACATTTGACTGGGGTGCCACTTGGGGGAGGCACCCAGAAGTATTGGGACCTCAGAATGGCATCCCCTCCAGACTAGTGAGCCCCTAAGTAGAGCTTAGGGCCTAGTCTTGGTACTGGTGGACTGGCCCTACTGGGCCCCAGACTTGATCCCCCAAACCTTCTCCTGGCTGAGAAAAGATGGGAGCAAGGGGAAGTGTGGTGGGATGGTGGGGTCAGGAAATCAAGCCTAAGCAGAGGACAGAAAAGAAAAGAGGGCATGGATAGAGTCCACGGTTAAGCCAACAGCCAAGATCCCTGCAGGGAACAGTCACCAGTCCTAGAAGACTGGAGTTTGAGACCTGGCTAAATCCCTGGACTGGTGTGTGACCCTGGGGAGTCTGGGTTCTATGGGAGTGAATGAGGACCCTGTCTCCTCACTGATGTCCCCATCCATCCAGATCTACTTCACCGGCTGCTCCATGAACCCAGCCCGCTCTTTTGGCCCCGCAGTGGTCATGAATCGGTTCAGCCCCTCACACTGGGTGAGTCTGGGCCTTCTTCTGACTCCTTGGCAACGAGGGCTTGGAAACCTGGCAGTGGCAGTGGAGAACTGAGCAGACTTTCTGGATGCTGTGGGCCCAGAGCTTGGGGGTTGGCCTGGGATCTGTGGCTGGAGAGAAGGGGATGGAGAAGGGAATGGGATGTGACTAGAAGAAGGGCAGGGTTGGTGTATGTGGCCTAAGCCCCTAGAGACAAGGGGCCAGTGTGTATGTGGGGGTATGAATGTCTGTCCTTCTAGAGAAGGAGATCTGTACTTTCTCTAGAGGTACAGAAGAGATCTGTGTTGATTTCCTGTGAGGATTTTGTTTGTCCCTCTGGGAATCTATATGTCTGTTCTCTCTAATGTTTTATTTATCAGGGCCTGTTGAGGGGTTGGGAGAGTGTTCCTATGGATCTGTCCATCTAGACAGTCTGTTTGTCACCTCTTTTGTGAGCTCATGGTCACTTTATGAGGAGGGGATAGTTCTGCCCATCCCTGTCTGAGGATCTATTTCTGTCCCCTCTGATGGTTCACTTGTGTCTCTTTGGGGTGGGGTTGGAAGAGATCTGTTCCTCTCGGCATCTGTCTGCCTCCTTGGAGAGTCTGTATGTCTGTGATCCRCGTCTCTGTCATTGAGGAATAAGATGTCAGTGTATCTGTCCTTAAAGCRCAAGGAGATGGTTCCCTCCAGAGGTCTGGAAGTCTGTATGTCAGTCTCTTCTCAGCACCCATGGATCTGTCCTCTGGTGTGGAAGGTCATGGTCCCTGAGGCCTGGGGCTCAGCCTCTGACCTCTGTCTGTCTCCACTAGGTCTTCTGGGTGGGGCCCATCGTGGGGGCCACCATGGCTGCCATCCTCTACTTCTACCTGCTCTTCCCTACCTCCCTGAGCCGCAGTGATCGTATTGCAGTCATCAAAGGYACCTATGAGCCAGAGAACATCGGAAGAGTATAGAGCTGACCGCCCACTGACCAGCATCAGGCAGGGACAGCCCCTGAACAACAGAAGAAAAAAGAAGAAAACTATGACAACGAAGCTTCCTTCTCTTGACTGGGGAGGAGGTGCTGGCTTCCTGGGCTGCACAGTTAGAGATGGGAGCAGGACCCCATGATCAAATGCTCCGGTGGGGTCAGTGGCTGGGGTCTGGTGGGAACAGGGTCTCTTTGGGACAGGGCAGATTGTGCTGCTGTGGGGTCAGACCTTGGAGATTRTGAGCATGATGCCAAGCTCGCTGACTGCTTCAGGGTCAGGCCAGAAAGCAGAGGCTGCTATCTGCTCCCCACACCTGCAGACCCTCAAGAGCTAGAACCAGGCCTTAAGTGTGGAGAGTGGACCCTCCCCCAAAGCTCCTTAGTAGACTGGTTCATTGAATGCCATCTTATTTATTTCTGATCAAGGATGCACGGGTGAGCTGCTGGTGTTTGGGTTGGGGGCTTCCTAATAAACCAATGATCTCATGTTTTGCCTCCATCTCTCCCCAGAGGCCTCTCAGGATACATTGGTCCCACACCTCTCCTCTTTGTCATCCCATACCCTCTCTATGACCTCCACGRGATACAAAGAGAACCTAAGATAAGTCCTCTGTACAAAGAAGGGAATGGTGAGGCCAGAGGACTACTAGAGGATCAGAGAGATGGGGAAGTGGTGGGGAGAGAGTGAAAAGAGGAGAACAAATATAGAAATAGAATTAGAGGCCGGCGTGGTGGGGCACACATGTAATCCAGCAGCTCAGGAGGCTGAGGCAGGAGGATCACAAGCCTCCGTAACTTTAGTGAGGCCCTAAGCAACTCAGTGAGACCCTGTCTCTAAATAAAATAGAAAAAATGGCTAGGGATGTGGCTTAGTGATTAAGTACCTCTGGGTTCAATCCCTAGTAGCAAAAAGAAAAAAAGAAATATCCAGGAACAAGGAGTAAAGGAAGGGACCCCCTTTGCCCCTCTCCCACTCACCCCTCGTCCCTCAGCTATGTCAAGTCCCTGCCATTTGAGAAGAGTCTGACACAAGTGTTAGGGTGTGCCAGGCAAGGTGAAGAAGTAAACCAACCACAGACCCTCRAGATGCCAAGGAGGTGACCAACCAGGTTCTGTCATGCAAAGGAGAAACAACCCTGCTATCCCTTCTCTGCGCCTTGCTGTTTCAAAAARGTGACATTTGGGTACCTGTCTCAGAGGAGCTATCCCATTCCCCATGACATACCAGAAGCTGCTCCTAGCCCAGTCCTTTCCCAGGTCTCTCCGGCCTCCATCTGTCAGTGTTCCCACGGTCTTCCCCTCTGCCCTTACCTGCTCTTGTCCTGAGGCCACTAATATTGCTCAGGAATTCTCCTTAACTTCTCTGAACCTCCATCTCTTAACCTGTGAGATGGGAATAAAAAGGCTTCCCTCATAAGTAGTTTTGGGGATCCAATCAGGTAAAGGTAGTAAGATGCCTGGGACTGGCTGTGAGGAAGAGAGCAGAAGCCACATTTAAATGAGCAGCTCAAGACACAGCTCAGCATCACAGTTAAGAAGGCTGATAAACAGAGTTCAAATCTCCTGCACAACTTTGGGAAACATAAGCTCTCGGAGCTCTAACTTATTTGTAAAATAGAAATACTTTTACCTACCTCACGGGTTGTTGTGAAGAGAAAATGAGACAATGGGTGGAGGTGAGATGCTGCTGCAAACAGAGCCAGGCACCTCGGCAGGTGCTCATGCAGTAGTGTGAAAAGAAACCAGCAACACACATGCCTCTGCCCTCCTGACAGTGTCTGAATCTGTGCTCCTGCTTCTCTGGTATGGGAACCGCTCCTCTTGGTCTTCAGTTTTGCTTCAAAAGAGGAGGAGCCAGCAGGGCCAGGAGATGTACTAGTAGGGATGGGAAAAGCTACAGACCTGGCTGGTGAGGCACAGACCACCCAGCTTTCCTCCAAACTGGGTTCTAGCAACTGTGAACAGGAGCCAGTCGCTCCTAAAGGCTTACTGGCTTCTGGTTAACATCAAGTGGCAGAGAGTGTGTGTGAGAACCTTAGGGTCTTCCTACCCATCACCCTACCCTCAATTCTCAACCTTGGGCCACCTGCCCCAGGCCCAGGGAGCCAGTCCGCAAGTGCAAGATCTTGCCAGCAGGGGGAGACCTCATCCACCGAATCCACAGCCTGCATTTTCTCTTTCCCAAGTCTTGGAGCTGGGCTCTAGGCAGATGAAGAAGGGATGCCAGGTAGAGGGCTCCAGGGACCACCAGGAAGCAGCGTATTCCCAATCGCAGCAACCCCACTACCCAGAAGGAGAGAGGAACCCTTCGCTAACTGGAAGGCTGGCCCCTTTCTCCAGCCCAGCAATTTATGAGCCTTTCTCTGACAGCCCCAAGGGCCAGAGTGACAGTGAACAGTTAATCTATGGGGATATATCCTCAGATATATCCAGTCAGAGGGTCTTGAGCTTCCAGCAGATGATGTTTGACCCTGTTGGTGGGGCAGGGTCCATATTAGAGCTTTGGGCTGTTAGTGATTAGAGCTATTTGACCAGCAGGGGATGCTGTGCTCCTGTGTCTGATCTTCCATAAGCCACTGGGTCTATGGGCTGACAAAGACCTGTGCACCCTTGAGCACACACATGCTAAACCTCACATCTCTGGTGCCCTGAGCCAAATACAGACCTTCAGTATTACTTAAGGGGTTGCATCTTCTGTGTGTGTGTGTGCCCCTTCCMTCAGCACAAACAAGGTCATTCCTGATATACAGAGCTGTAGCAACCCTCCCACAATGTTCACTCTCATAGGATCACTTGGAGACCAGACCTATGAGCCTGGCTTCATGTATCCTTGGGGAGGCACACACATGTTTAGTCATATCCAAGCACACACATACTCAGTCCCCTCCTACCTGAAGATGGGACCCAAGAAGAACCTACATTTTCGCTAAAAGGCTTCTCCTCACCTTCATCTCCCCGACTCATTTCCCCAGGGGCTGCAAGTTTTCACCAGTGAAAGGTGGACATGGTGATATGATGGAGAGATGGAAGAGGCATCTAAACAGAGTCTGGCTGTTTAGATGAATGGACAGGAGGAGGGATTACTGGCAGAATCAGTTTTCTTAACTCCTCTCAGTCTTGGCAACCTCCTCTATCAAGTATGGGTGAGGATATCAGACCTCCCCCTCCCTAACTTTAAATGTTTTGTAGGTATTAGTGAGATGCTGCACAAGAAGCCACCTTGATCTTCCCTTCCTATCATGTCTTTATTCTCTCTCCTCCCCTCTCTCCTGCTCTCCCTATCTTCTCCAAACCCTGAGAGGGTCTCAATCAGAGCTCACAACTACCGGCAGCCTAGTGTAGGGTTTTGACAAGGTCTGGGGGTAGCTGGCAGAGGCAGGCAAAGTCAGAGTTGGAGCAGGCCCCAGGTGGATGCCAACCTGCCCTCAGCAGGTATAGGACCTCCTTGACCCAGGTCAGCCATGACCCAAAGAGGCTATAACTGCAGTTCAGCTGGGGGAAAGGGCTACCACTGCACTTCATGTTCTTAGCCTCTAGGGCCCAGAGCATGGGCTTCAGTGTCTTGGACCTGCCACAGCAACCAGGACCTTTCTTTACCCTAGCCCAGTCCCCACAGTTGTCTCACTGAAGAGACATTCTGTGATTGGAAGCCACTTTCCCAGATATCMGCTCACTTACTCCTACCAACACATGGGGACAGGGGGATTATCATCCCTATTTTATAGGTGGGGATACTGAGGTCACAGAAGCTAAATGATCAGTCAGCAGTACAGGTGGMAATTGCAAAATGCTTTTTTGTTTTATTTTATTTTTGTTTTATCTGTTTGAGATCAGGTCATGCTGTTTCCCAGAATGRTCTTGAATACATGAGCTTAAGCGATCTTCCCGTCTCAGCCTCCCAGGTAGCTGGAACTAGTCAAGTACCACTGTGCTAGGCTGCACAGTGCTTTTACTTTTCTTATCACAAGCTCTCAACAGATAGGTATCACTTCGATTTGGTGCCTGTTTTACAGGTATAGAAATGGAGGCTAGGACAAATGTGGGGACCTGGTAAGTGTCCACCAAGCCCTCCACTGGCCCTTTTTGAGGGAAGTGAATGGGAGATAGGCCCTTGAGGTACCCTGAGACACCATGGTGCCCCTCATCCATACTCCTTCCTATCTTGGGTGTTTGTTGGATGGCTCCTCTGTGCCAGACAGGGGCGGAATTCTGCACTGGAATAGAAGAGACACTTAGGAAGCAGAGGCCACCGCTGACCCAGGCTCTGCTCAAGCCTGACTTCTCTATGAAGCTTACCCTGATCTTGCTCAGGGGAGAAACCAGGACAGGCTTCAAAGAGGAATTGTACTTAAGCAAAGTCTTAAAGGAGAGACAAGGAGGAAAGGAATTCCAAACAGTGTGTGGAGGGCTTAAAAGCTCATTTTGGGAAACTTTATAAATGTTTGGCCTAATTGGAGTAAAGGGGGTAGGATGCATGTTGAGAGAGGTCCTTCTTTGCGTGTGAGAGATGGATTCAGACTTGAACCGGAGGCACTAGGGAGCCACTGAAGGTTTTTGAGCTGAGGAGTGATGTGACCAGAGTGGCATTTTGAAATAATCTCTGGCTATAGAGGTGAGTATTATGGAGCGGCATGGTTATATTATAGTCAAAGAGCCCAGGAAGGTTAAATGCAGTAATCCTGAGATAAAAAGAGCCAAACTGAGCCAGTGGCAAATAGGAATAGGAGGAGGTAGCAGATAAGAGAAAGAACCACCAGGAGCCTGGCCACTCAGTGAGAGTTGAAGGAAGAGGAAGTGTCTGGATCATTCCTGGTTCTGGCCTGGTCATCTGAGTGAATGCAGAGCCACTAGGGGGAGATGTAGCAAACAGAGACAGTTGGAGGTGAAATGGGGTGGTGCATGGACTTGGAGTTCAGGAGAGAGGCTGGGGCTGGAGGCCATGCTGAGACCACAGTCTATGGAGAGTATGAAGGCCACTTACCC